TGATGAAGTAAAGTTGTATTTTTATGAATACATGACACCAACTATATCTGTGAAGTATGCAGAAAAAAATTGAACTTTGAACGTCGTGAAATAGCAAATAATTGCACGCTATTGATGCATCACATATTTGCTTAAACCCATTAATGGCTTTGCTTTCCAAATATTTGGAAAGCGCAAAAGATTACTGCTCTTCACCATTAATGAAATCGTTGATACTTATTAATTATTCAATTAGCTAACTAGTAACTTTTTTACACCTATCAGTGACGCATGCAGTACTTTGTAGAAACTAAAAGTTCACTTGGTCAGAACTTATGCACACGCGCAACTGTATGCTACGAAACGCTGCGACCACCTTGTAAATGTACAATCATAATTATGACAGTTATCTTAACATTTAATCAACAACATAATAATTATGATAATTAGCTACAAATTTGTAATAATACAGAAGAATATACTAGAATACTACTAATAACATGTACTCAGTATATGATGCTAGAATTACTAATTACATAATACAGGAGTACAATCTATAATTATTACTTTACAAATTAGTGACATTGTTAACATTATTGTTAATTATTATTGTAATGTACGGAGCCTGGACATACGACGCTGCTGAATACCGCTTCTTACACTGCAAAACGCGGCGCTCAAATGCGCTTATACGAGAATACAGAGTACATGCTTTCAAAAACTGTAATCCCAGTACCGGTAGCTTTTAGAAATTAGAAACAGATTTTACAGAGTAATTCTGAAAGATGCAGCCTGCAGTGAGTGCAATCCTGCATTCAGTGTTCTTAGCTATCCCAAAGGAAGATTTTCATAAACCGTTATGCCATTCTGCTTCCTGTGGCTGTGACCCACGTTTGAGTTGTTCGCCACACAAGAATTTCCTTCCTTTTTCGACAATTAAAATTTCCTTCCTCTTTTTGACCAAAAAACATTCCTTCCTTTATTTATTCCTTCCTCCTTTTTGACCTTGGCCCGCAAATAACTCGCGTCAAGTTATAGCGTTAAGTTTTAACTGCCCAGGTCTGATGGGGAGCAGCCGCCCACACAGCCACCACAACCGCCGAGTGGAGGTATAATACAGCTATGGTTGATACCAACCTGAGTATTTATAATAATGAACGACTAAATAGTAAAAGCATATTGCTTTTACGAATATCGTGCAAACAGGTGTCTCTATGCTGAGGTGTTCCTGTTGGTTGCACGCTGTTTATATATTCCGATTATTACTTGAAATTGCAAACGCAGGCCGACTGACCGATATCCGACTGACCGATATCCATTTTCCCGAAACTGTATGTATGATATTACTGTGACCTAATACTGGGTGTATTACGTAATGCCGAGTACCGATGCATTGCCGACAGCAGTTATAGCAAAGTGTAAAAAATATGCTCTTTTCAGGATATTTAATCAACCTATAGGAATTCCGCACAGCGGTGACGTCCAACGGATACCCCAGTCATCGGAGGAGCAGTACAACAACATCAACAGCCGAGCCGCCGGCTCCGGTTCCATCACGACCAAGCGCGAACTGACCATGTTCCTGGCCAATATATTGCATGAATCCGATGGTCTACGCGCAAAAGGAGAGCACAGTCCCATTAGCGCCCCTTACGCTCCGTATCCCGGCAGAAACTACCACGGACGCGGTTACATTATGCTGAGTCACTACTACAACTACCGCGACGCTTCTCAGGCGCTGTCTGGGGATCATCGCCTAATGGAACCCGGATCTGATGAAGAATGACGACCGCATTGCCTGAGACACCGCTTTCTGGTTCGGGAAGGACCGTGTGCACTCGCAGGCCGGCATTTCTGAAGGTCACTTTGGGGTGTCGATCCAGTTTATATTAACGACGGAATTGAGTGCGTGCCCAGCGGGACGCCACGAGCCCGAAGACGTTTTGAAAAGTACAAAAAGATTTTTCAAGCTTTTAGCTTGCCAGAATCTCCTATTGAACGTGGCTGTTATAATTAGTTTTTTAAAATTAACTTGCCTCATACAAAAGCGGCGCGTGTTTACAAATATGTGCAAAATTATTCGTAATCACGCTGCGTCGAATGTTAAATCCTGCATGTATGATAAACAGACTCACTGACAGCTGTTTGTAATTTGACGTAAAAACTGATGTTGAAACGGTGATGAAAAAATAAGTAAGAGCACAGTAAATAAATATTAGCACAGTATTCAGAGAATAAGTAATTCAGATTGCTTTGGTGAATAAATTACTGTCTTTTAAAACAGCTGACAACAGCGCGTCGCAGATTGGCCATGGATAGCATCAGCAAAACCGGATCAAATGCAGCATGAATTAGCTTTAGCAACACGGTCACCGTGTAGAACGTGGCATCCTGCGAGTTGATCCAGTAAAAAACATTTCCAGGCGTCCAGCATATTACGACACTGATCGTCAACAGCGTCAGAACAGCGACCGAATGTGAATCCGTCGTTCTCCGTTGCCGGGTGGGTTTCGGTGGCCGGCTTTTGGTGGATGTTTCATGGGAGCCACCGTTTCGCGATGGGCGAACAGCCCGACCGCCTTTACATCTCCGGACTAAGAGTAGTGGATACGTCAGAACTATGACAACTTCCTGGATATTAAAGAACAGTATGCTGGCGGAGCGTATCCAGGAAGGTGCGCCAGGAAAACCAAACTGAAATGCGCAGACTTTATCGGCAGCCGGTATCCGGTAGAGCGCTGCATCGAAGGCTATCGGCGGAGCGTAATAGCTTAGGCAGACAAATATAAAGGTCAAGTTGATAGCCCATGCGACTTTCTTCGTGTGAAAGCGCTTATAGAAGAACGGTGCCGTTATGGCGCACATACGGTTGACGCAGATTAACATGTGGCAACCTGGTAAAACGGAGCTGATGGCTTGGCGAATCAGTAAATGTACGGCGCAAAAAGAAGAAATAAGATTAACAGGGAGGAAATCCTTGATCAAGAGCGATACCGGGCTCTGCAAGCACGCATTGCATATGTTGCTAACGGACAGGATGAGCATGTACACGGTAAACGATGTCCATGGAGTAGTCATGCGTACAGTCAAAATGTACAGGAGAAAAGCGTTCAGTGGAATGACAACGGCACAGCAGATGGCTGTCCACGACTGCAGCTGATTCCAGTTTGATGAAATGTAGTTAATGTAATACGAAGGTTCGCTGGAAACGTTGGATGAAGTCAGATTTCCCATTCCAAGCTTATGCACGCAAGCGCCTACAAGCTCACAATTCAACGCAGCTGGTAAGATATTATATTTATCCGTATGTTATGGTAAATTTAAATTAAACTCAATCCTGGTAATGTCTACAGAACTGCAGAAAGTGTATGGGCCATTTTCAGCATGTTCCTAATGCACTAGAACAGTTATGAAACAAGTTTTGGCAAAAAATCTTTTCGTACTGTTTTCTGGCATGAATTAACGGGATATTCAGATTAACACCGGTTTATGATTAAACTACGGTAAGACGTAATGCGGGAAGACATCCGAGCTTTTTCGCTAAGAGGGTTAATCTGGCAAATAACTGGTTCATTGCTCGTAAAGGTCAAACCCAGCTGTTCTCGCAGGTGTATATAAAACTGTACGCCCACCTTTGACGGCAAAGGCACAACATGCAGCTCACGCATATGCCGCAATTCGCGGACCAAGTTCCCAAATATCTTGGTTGTTTAAATTTCACTGCAATGACGCGAATACAGGTTGCTATTACCATGGCCACGAGTACAGAATTTTAGAAGCAGATGACGTTCTTGTGCTGTTCATGTGATGTAAATTATCTCCAGGTGGACTTAAAAAATATTTTCAAATTTTAGAAATTTGTTTGTTATTTATCGTATGGCATCTCCATTGGCGCAACCTACCACCTCGGTGCGGGTAACAATATTTTGAACTAGTTGAGTTATTTGTTAAAACTCGGTAACTCGGAAATAACTCACGTTAAGTTATAGAGTTAAGTTGTAACTGCCCAGGTCAGGTTACTACCATCATCTCTCTCGCCTGATTAAAAAGAACCTAGCTTAATGTCCCCTTTGTGCACTGCCGCCAAAAATTCACCAAAAAAGCGGTGCAGACGCTACAATGACCTCCTACAGGTGGCGGAGAGCGTAGTAGACTGGCACAGCAACGTTAACTGCAGGCCGAGCAGGGCCATCACGCCGTGTCGCACTGCACGAGACTGCCGAGTTGAACCAACAGATTTGGAACATTTTTTATAAAAAGCAATTCAAGCAATCACCAGCAGAAGTGTTTTGTTTTTCCTTTGTTTACGTGTTTGTATTTTGTGTTTGCTCTTAAATTATAATTCTTATCTGCTGCACTGATAATTCTGCATTACCAATATAACTGTTTTTCCATTACGAGACGAGGCAGTCTGCAACTCTGCATACTTATCGTGAATTATCATTTATCGTCCGATTCCATACTTATAATTTACTAGACATTTGAGTTCCTCGGCAAAACCCTGACGCTGCCTGATCCTCATGCTTATGAGGGCTCGATGCGCAAATGGTTTGCGAGTGTTTACCGGTGTCATGCCATCTTCTAGGCAAATCCTTCCCGCGCATCACCATCACGACGGAGAACAGCCCGTCGCGGGCCTCCGTGATGGAGGAGGACCTGTCCCACGACCGTCTGCGGATGGAGGTGGAACTGGAATCCGGATTGATCGGCCTAACCGGCGACCTGTCGACCCCCGCCGCCACCGCCACCCCGGGCGGTCTGCCCCGCTCCAAGACGGACTCCAACATCGCCTACCCCCTGCCCGAGTACCAGGAGGCCCGCGGCACCTGCAACCTCATCCAGGACGACGGGGAGCTCAACTACCAGGCCCTCATCCGGGCGGTGCTGGTGGCCTTGAACGAGCGACCAAGCCAGCGCATCTGTGATGTGGCCCTCACCCTCATCGACGTCCTCTTGGACCTCCTCCTGGACGTCAAGGGGGAGGGCGAGGGGGAACGGGCGGGAGGGGGCGGGGTGGGGGAGGCGGAGTTGGGGGTGCTGCGGGCGCGCAGTGTCTCCCAGCCGGGGCTGCCGCCGCCCGTAGCGGGCGCACCGCCGCCGGTACTCCTCCATGATGTGGCCACGCATCGTTTGCTCATGTCCTGCATTACCAAGTAAGTCCAGAAATCCCAGAAATGTTTTCTTGATTACTTCTTGTGGGAAAGAAAGTCCAGAAATGTGTTCTTTATTGAAATGTTTTCTTGTTCGTACTTGCTTGAAAGTAAGTCCAGAAATGTTTTCTTGATTACTTCTTGTGGGAATTTTCTTGTTACTAAGTATTATTATTAATTATTTTTTATTTTGTGGAAATTACAAATAAGTCAGATAATCTAGTGAGAGAAACTTCAGTCTTCACTGTAAGTATTATTAGTAAGTAAATATTGTAGTGCACTGGCTCAGGCATATATTGAGCGCACAATAGTAACAATTCACCAGGAAATGTGCAAAGTTTTCAAATTTCAAGTGCTGTGGTTTCATTGCGAAGATTCTTTTTTAAACCTGCCCATTTAATTAAATGAAAACGCACTTTTTGATAAAATTTTATTGGGTATATTGAAGGGCGAAAAAAAAACGATAGACGATTATTCGAACCTGTTTCCCGTCGTTTCCCAAAATAATCAACAAACGAATTCATTGCATATTCCTGTGACAGATTATTTAATTTTGTTAATTTGTGGTCTGCATCATGCAGTTTACCCAGAATTAATTGTTGGACTTTTTACTTTTTTAGAGGTTTTTAAATTATTATGTTTATTAAACTGTTGAAGAAGTATCCAACAATAATGTACAACTGACAATAAAACTTATTGGTTTTTGCGAAATTTGGTTGATGTTATATGTGCCAGCATTGATGGATTTTGTGTGATTTGATTGTAGAATTTTTGTGATAATCGGTTGCGTGCACGGGTGCGGCACGGAGTCGGGGGTGCCGGCGGCCGGCCTGAGCAGCCGCGGCAACCCCAGCGAGTACATGCGGCGGCAGGCCTACGCCAGCTTCCACCGGCTGCAGGCCGTCAACGAGCCGGAAGCCAAGCGCTTCTTCCGCGCCATCCTCACCAAGCAGGAACTGCGCCACATTGTCGCGTTCTGCCACGCCTTCTTCGGCTAGCCGGCGCTGGGGCTCCGTGGCCAGCACCTCGGGGATGACCTCTCACCAGAGTATCCAATCCTTTGCCGACCACGGCCAGGTTTGTTTTTGCTTGCGTGTTTAATCAGTTTAACGTCGACAATAATCAGGAGTTAGGTCGCGATCAGATGCAGTATTACATCTAGATTTTAGAGAGGCGCATTAGATTGAGTTTTGGGAAATCAAGACACAAGTCTGGCGAGTTTAAAACTATGCTCTTAGAGCATCTCAACTTAAACTGCCAAAGTCGCCGGGATCCGGTTGAGCAGACGACTGTTCAGGTTGGAAAGGATGCAAGGTCACCAATCACCTATGAATTATAATAACGATAACCAGAATCGAAAAACATCAGGCCGACTAGTTTGCCGGCGAAATGCATTAGAACATCCCGTACGAACGAAAGAGGAATCCAAACTGAATTTGAATTTAATTTCTTCTGCAACGGTGACAAGTCCCCTTACGCATGCGACAAGATGACAGCAGTACAAAACCTCACAAAAAATCGAAATACATAGGTACATTCACCATTCCATTGTAATAATCAGACATCGTTAACAGTATCAAAAGATAGATAAAAAAAACAAATCGGAACAATTAGTAATAAAGTGAAATTGAAATTGAACTGAAATTGGGTTTAGAAACAGCTTTGCCAACTTTCGATAAATGTGGGGCTATTGTGGACAGTCTGGTCAGGAGTGTAGTCTCAACGTGGCGAACCGCTTAGACACATTCATCCGCTTGCTAAGAATTTTGCCAGTCACGTTACGTGACGTTCGATGGCGAATTTTATTGGTACAGGTTGCTTACTGTACGTTAGAATGGTACCAGTTAAAATGTGATATTTCGTAGTGAAATGGCTTCACAGTGGCGAACTGTCGGATTACGATACGCCATTATACGTATTCACGTAGATATTTTGAGAACTCTAAACAACATGGACATTTTTTCCGGCCGTTAATAACGCTGGGGAGGAAACTAGCGTAGAACTGCAATAAATTCGCTGTTAAGTGCAGTGGTTATTACTTTTCAAAAGAAGATCTACTACCGTAGGGTACGGAAACTGATGACCACTTAATAAGGGTCGGCTCATTGATTCCATTCTCAGCGAAAGCCGGTTTTTATAATAAACAAACTTTTTAGATCATATTACAAAATTACAAGAAACAGCCTCGGCTTCGCCTCCGCGTTTCTTGTGGTCCATGGCCATTTTATTTGAATTTGAATGAATATTTATTAGATTAACATCAGTCTATTCGTCGAAACATGATCGGTACATGCAATAGGGCAAACACGAATTTTCTATGAAAATCAGTTCATGATACCCTCAACCTTGAAAGCATTCCCTTTCGCTGTACATACAGATAATTTTACGATATCCCATACCCGAAAAGAAAGCCGAAATATCAGTCTATAAGGTGTGAAATTCGAAACAGTGATAGTGCACTGGATCACTAGTTCGGTAACTCATCACTTCACTGGCTCTTTTCACTGAAGTTGGTGTGTGCCCAGTGGTGTATGTCCGGTCAGTAGTGGTGGCTCGATTACTTGCTTAGCTAACCGGTTCCGTTCGCCGGACAGTAGTGATAGCTCGGTCACTCATGTACACTGTACAATAACGACAGCTCGGCCACCGGCTCACCTAACGGGCTTTGTACACTGGCAGCAGTGTTAGCTCGATCACACGCTCAACTAACGGACTTTGTACACTGGCAGTAGTGTCAGGCTTCAGCTCGGTCACTCGTATCACCTCCCGGGCTCTGTGCACGGACAGTAGTGGTTGCTCGGTCACTCGTTCCCTAACGGGCTCCGTGCACCGGACAGTAGTGGCAGCCGCCACTGAAAGCTCGGTCACCCGCTCACCTCCCGGGCTTTCTGCGCCGGACAGCAGTGGTAGCTCGGTCAGCCGCTCACCTAACGGGCTTTGTACACTGGACAGTAGTGACAGTTCGGTCACCTGCTCACCGTCCGGGATCTGTGCACGGACAGTAGTGGCAGCTCAGCACTCCTTCACCGAACGGGCTTTTTGCGCCGGACAGCATTGATAGCCCGGTAACCCGCGGTAGTTCTGTCTATCGCTGCTTGTCCGGCACTTGTTTAGAAATTGTCCTCGATGACAACGTTGGATATGTAGTCGTTCTTGTCGCAATAACGCCAACGGTCTGCTAATTAAATTGATCCTGATATTTTAATTAGTGGAACATAACTTTCATTTTTTATCTATATTTTTTTGGTTTACGTGGCAACATTGCCTGGTTAAAAATACCACGATGATAATTGTTATTATAGTAATTTAGTTACATTTTGTGAAGGTAGTCAAAACTCTTCCGCTGTGGCGCTCGAAGCGGGAGAGGTTTTAAAAGAAATGAATACTATCTGGCCGGGTTTTCGACTACGGGCTTTCAGAATATAATATTGGTTTTGGTCAGTCTTTTCTGGTTTGCCGGCTCTGGTGTATCCCATTCGTGGCAATATAGATCTGAATCTTGATAAACTCACGCCTGTACGCATTAGGAACGCGTTATTACGCAGAAGCCTACGACATGATTACCAGAAGCGAATTTTAATTTTTTAAATTCACTTTTAACTTTGTTCGTTATACGGTAAATTCATAACTTTTTTATAAGTTTGTGCCATGAATCATGCGCAAAGGCCGGCGCAGTTGCAGATTATGGAGCTGCAGGCGCAAAGCGGCAGCCAGACGCCAACAACCCCGTCGATGTCGCAGCGGAAGCTGCACATCTTCCGCAAAGGGTCGCACTACGCCGGTCTGAGTCGGATGAGCAAATCGACCATTCTGGAGAAGAATGCCTCGCTGGAGTCCATCAACAAGCTGCGCCACGAGAGCACCACGGAGAGCAAGGAGAAGGAGCGCGCTGAGGCCTCCGCGGGGGGCGGGGCCAAGGCGGAGGAGCTGCACTACTACCCGCGCGAGCTCAGCGCCATGTCGCGCTACCTGAAGCAGCACGTGCTCAGCCTCTTCGCGGCCCCCTTCGGGGCGCTGGCCAAGGGGCTGATGGTGATGGACGAGAAGCAGCTGGAGCGCATGTTCCCCCTCTGCTGGGAACTGCTCTTGGTCGACGACGAGGAAGTGGCTTCAACCACCGCTGTCTTATGCGTCGTGTGCTCAGTCAAGATCAGCAAGTTCGTCACCGATTGTCTGCGGAAAGGGATGAACCACGAAGAGGCCGAGGAGCGGGTGGATTCCATACTCAAGTACGCTGTCTCAATGATAATTTCTGTACATATCACATATATGCGGGCAGCTCGTAATAGTAAGCATTAACCATCGTAGTGAAGTGGTTATTGCCAAGGGCACCTCGTCTGTCGGGAACCAATTATATTCAGACTTATCAAACTATAACAATTCGAAATTTAAATCAGTTTTTAGATTTTTCTATAAGTTTTTATGTGCTTCGATGTTTTTGGCATTCCGGACGTTTCATAACGTCTTTAACATGGATTCGCTTACCGGCACCAAACCCGCGTTAATATTCTTACTTCTCAGTGTTGTGCCACATCAGAAGCTTGACTATCGCTTGTATAAGCTTGTAAAAAACTAGTAAAGCTACTCGTACTACACGTAAGCACTAAGCACTTGTGAAAATCTTTTGGAACAACGCCAAGAATACTGTGGCGTGTACCACATTGCAGAAAAGTTCGCCGTACAAAAATCGTCGAAGCAGGGTCAACTCAGCTGACATAATTTTGTTATAAACTACAATTTTTTTATCCGGCTATGACAATTACTCTAAGAACCGACTGAAATGCAAATATGGGAAATAATTATTTGTCTGTGTTGCCGGTTAGGTTTCAGGCGTTGTGGCGTTACCGTTGCCAAGTGTGGATCCGGCTGGATGACGGCGCGCAGGCCATCATGCGCGTCAGCCACGCCCTCAACATCGACTACACCCTCCCCTCGCCGCTGATCGGCCGGCCCTACGTCGACTGCCCCGACGCGCCCTGGCTGCCGCCCACCTCCATCAAGATCGAGGAAGTGGCCATCAGCCAGGAGGAACAGGTACGCTACAAAGTTTGCTTAGTATTCACATATTTCAGGTTATAACACGTTGAAATAATGCATTAAAGATTCTGGCTGCTTTTTAGCGTTGAAATTTTAATCACTTTAAAATAGTGTTACGCGAAATGCACTTTGTTGTATCGTTTACGTAGGTGGCAGTTGCGGGCTAAACACAAAGTAACAAGTAACAACACGGCAATAGTACTGTTATTCTTGCTATCTTCTGACGGCACCGTAGGTGCTAACGTCTACTCAGTAGATACTGGAATGTGGTAGTGTAGAGGCACCAAGCTAAGCGCGAGATGTCATGCAAGTGCGCTGTAATCAAATTCGATACTTCTATGCATAGTTGTGGTGTTTTTTGCCAGCCAGTTGCTGGTTTTCTACTTACTTCTCAGCGTTTCCCATGAGTTAATTATTTAACCGATACGCCTTAAACGGAGACTAACAGTTAGCTCTTGGAATCTTTTGCACGTGTGACGTGTACGAAGTACTGCTGAAATTTCTTGGGCTTTATGTATTTATTTATGATTCACGTTGACAGCTTGAGCATTCTAACGCGGTTTCGGTTTTGGCAGTCCAAAAACTCCAACACGCTGGTGGCCGCCACCCAGACGCGCCGCAAACAGCTGCAGGAGTCGATGAACAAGGCCCTGCGCGCCCAGGAAGAGCGCAACCAGCGCGAACGCGAACGGGTCAAGGTCAGCATGCTGCCGGTGCTCAAGATGGCCGCCATCGAGCCCGTACCGCACCAAGTGGCCGACGAGCGTGAGGTTGAAGGTGCGCTGATGTTATTTTGTTTATCGTGACACTAATATTTTACTACGATAATTCTAATAACTATTACATTTATTTGCCGATTTATTTGAAATGCGTATACGGGTGTGAACGATTGTAGTGGACGAGAACGGGAAGATCGCTGACACCGGCACGGTGGCCACGCACACCCTCACCTCGCTACCGGTGTTCCCCACGGCGCTGGGCACGGCCATTCTGCAGCTGGTCGATCTGCTGGACGACGTCGGTGTCGACAATTGCGGCATTTTTGGTTAGTCGCTATTTGTATATTATGCTTCGCACAGGGTTTCTGTTAATCCTCGTTTCAGTTGAAGGACGAAGTTTGCGTTCATTCGTACTACAGTTACTGACCGAAGAAAATCTTGCTAACAGTTCTGTGGTAATTAAATTTCTTGAGATTTGTGACTGTTTTTGGCTAGTGTAAAACTGTATTATCGTTTAGCCGGTGCAACCCGAACATTTTTATACGATCGTTTTTTAGCCGTGTGTTATAGTTAATGTAAGATTAAAACCTCACTGGTTCTGAATAGCTGCAGGCTAAGCTGCATGTCGCTACGTCAGCGGAACCCTAACATTTCGTTATCAGAAACCAACTACCAACTGGCTGTGCGGTTACCAGCGTGTGATGTCGGTGATGTGGGCAGATCGTCCCTCGGTCGACGGGATCTCTTTCAAGGAGATCAAGACCATCCTGCGCCGCGAACAGTGCGACGCCCACCTCCTCCTCACCGCCAACGTCCCCGGCGCCAAGAAGGTCATCGTCCACGGCCCCGATCTCACCCAGATCCCTCGCAGATCCCGTCAGCGAGGACACCCAGTTCAGGAACTCTTAACCGAAGCGCTGGATTTCTTCTCCATTTCCACGAACGACGGGAGAATTATATTCTATGTGACCAGCGCACGGGAGGGCGCACCATCCCAGTGGGTACGTGCGAGATGTGTACTTCTTCCGAAGGAGCTACTATCCGCAACTGAACCTGATGCGGTCGCCGGGGACGGAGGGCTTCTCAAGCTGCAGCTGCAGGCCTACCATAATTTGTTTCTGGAGGCACAGAAGGTCTTCCTGGTGCATAGTCTGTTTCTGAGTGCGCAGGAATGCGATGCATGTCAAGTTCCAGGAGTAACCGTTCGGGTCAGAGTATCTGGGGATTGATGTCATGCATAAATACGCCTGGGTTCAGGTAAGATAAGACATCAGTGGTGTTTTTAATAAGGTTTATGATAGAGCGTTAAGAAGTTGTGCTACGAACAACTTCTTAACCGTTAAAGTTGTTCGTAGTATAGTGGCACTGTAAAGTGGCTCTTCGCTATTAGTTGTCACGTTTATCTAGACCAGCTAAAATTAAAATTAATGCTGTAGAAAAGAACTTTTGTATGTATATGTAAATTTTTTTTCTAATAGAACTGAAATTTATTTTTGGTTTATGTTAGAACAAAACTTTAAAACGGTTGCAGCAAGCAATTCAAGAATTTGACTGCGTGCATCATAAAATGCGCCACAGCCGACATTGTGCCGATTTTATAAGTTACATTCCGACAGGTCTGATGTCCCATGCTAGAGTGTCACCTTTGCCGGACATGGGCTGGCTGCTCTGACTCAAAATGAATTAAATTCAGGCGTTTAATTTTTCAATGTTTAAAATATACGAGACATACGTATAGACGAATTACCAATTACGGATATTAACAATTTTTCATATCTCGTTCTTTATTGATGTTCATGTCGCGACATAACAGTCGTAATTTATATCACTACGGCCAAGATTGTGCAATTAAGAATTAAAAAAACAACCGCAATCAGTATTATAATTGACAATTGTGAATGGCTTACTTTGTTAGCCTGGATTTCGTCTTATCATACGGCTGAGAAGTGATTTCGTAGTCTAGTGGCATCGTATCCGAAACGCCTACTCTGGCACGTTGTCACGGCTTGTCTAGTGCCATTTACAGTAAAAATGATGCTTTAACAACCTTTTTTTTAAGAAACACAGAATTTAAAATTGTTGTTGTAATACTGCATTTTGTCTCAATTCTCATTGCAGAAATTATTGAATAAAATCTAAAGATAATTAAAAAGAGCGTTTAACTCAGTACTAAAAAAATTGTCCACGTTACAAGTACAACAGTTTTTCAAAAATACCAAACATGGTTTTGCAGTTGGCCTCCCATCTGCTCTGCAACCTGTCCCGCCCCACCTCGGAGGTACAGCTCTCCTACGCCGACATCCAAATGCTCTTGTCCGTGCTGAACGGCGTCCTAGTGCTCCACTGCCAGGACTCGGCGACCCTGCGCCTGTGTCTGGCGACGTGCATCACCCTGGCACAGAACTTGAAGTACCTGTTCGCCTCTACCGGCTTCCTGCTGATCATGCCCACCGTCCTGCGCATGTACGCCGCCCACCAGACCAACCACCTCCTCATCCACACCCTCGAGTTCGCCTGCAGCCAGTTCTTCCTCCTCCACCGCAACCCCTTCCTCCTCCAGATGTTCGGCTCGGCCGCCGGGTTATTGGAGCTGAGTCAGGCCGATACCGGGATTAAACCGCTGAAACGACAGCATATGAAGAAGATCCTCTTCTCGCTGGGACGCTTTGCCCTGCGGCCGTCCAAGGTCGTCCAGACAGCGTTGATTCATTATCCCCTGGGCAGTCTGGATATTCTGGAAAAGGTACGGGTGTCACGTGACGGTGTTTGTGATGCTTTGCATAGTTTTGGGCAACGCTAAGGCTGCTTTCGGTTTTCTTAAGTCTGAAAATATGGTGTTATCGTAGTGTAATGGCCAGACGCTGGTGTTATCGTTTATTGGTTGGAGCTGAATTTAGTGATGGACACAGTTCGCTTCCACTTTGTGTGATGGCAAAAATAATTTTTCGCAAAACAAGATAGCATTAAGTAGTTAGTTAGTTAGAGGTAAATGGAAAACATCGTTGATTTTAGTTGAATAATTGCATAAGTACTTACTAACATTAAGACTGACCATGGCTGTTTCGCTGATATATGTATATTTTCAAATTTCCAAGAAAGGCCTGCAAATTTACGTACAAAATATATGAATTGTGCGCATACGGCCAAAATTCATTTACGTATATTGTGATCCTCATTGCCACCATTTTCCTGTTTCAAGATTGCAGGAAGCAGTGTGAATAGTCAGTATTTGTATTTCAGTAATACTGTCGAAAAACTGGAGTGTACGAAACAAACTATCGTAGTGTTGTCGTAGTGTAATGGCGTTAGGCTCAGACTATAATGGCTTTCGAGTGCTTGAATTGAATAATTATTTCTACGGAACCTACAAATTCGATAGAAAAATAGTTTTTCCCACAATACTTTGGTGTTGATTTAATGTAAATAGGTAACTATCGTTAAATAAGTACCAATTAATAGTGACACACTTATTAACGGTAAGACAGACCATGAATATCAAGTTTATGGATACTAATTTTTCAAGCCAGCCAGCAAATTTATACGGGATTGTGCGAATTCGGTCGAAACTCGTTTACGCGTACGTACGTATATTGCTGAGATCCAAACTGGTACCTTTTTTGTTTCAAGAATGCAGACAACTATGGTAAACCGTAATACTCGTTTTTCGCCATTACGGTCACGAAACTACGCATGATCGAAACCAATTTATAACGTATTGCCCGTAGGTGGACGGGAAGAAGCCGCCAGCCGTTGGACTTTGCTACCAGACCGATATGGGCAACCTCACCGCGCAGAACATCCTGACCTCGGCGGTATCGAGCTGCATCGCCGTGATCGCCTTCGACAGCGCGGCGAGTTCGCGGGGACGTAGATGCGGCGGACGCTGCTCAACGAGGAGGTGTGGTACGATGAGAAGCCGGCGGATAGGGGCATAGTGCCCGTACTGCCAAGGACGAACTGCAGAAGATCATCTCACTGGCTGGCAGCTTGAAGTCGTTAATATTCTCCTGCGAATCCCTGACCCGCCCCTTGCCGTGCCGGTCCGCTCCCCTGCCGCCCCGGAGGGACGCTCCGTGGTCATGGCGTCGCCGTCGCATGTCGGTCGCGATCACGACGTGGAGGCCAACCGGTACGATTAACCATAAGGACAAAATTTTAAGCCTTTCGGCGTTGAATGAGTACTACCTATAATAATTATGTATACCGCTTCTCTAAAGACTTTATTTGTTACTTACTTTTTAGCATAGTTGGTTGTCGGCCGAATTAGCTAGATTTGTGTTCTGGTGTTGTCCTCGATTTTATGTTTGGTAATGAAAGGTTAATTTGCGCGAAGTTGTCGTAGTACACTGGCTACTAATGTTGATAATGCGGATGCTGTAGGTGTTGCAAATACTTCTGGAATCTCTAAAGAACATCGGTTAACGTAGCACATGATACTTTTTTATCTTTTAACTACAGCTTTCGATATCGATTTGGTATGACAAGTTTGTTGTTCTGCTTTAGACCGAAGATCATCACGATCCACGAGCCGCCGGAACCGACCAACCAGCAAGCCGAGTTCAGTTACCCGCGCAACCACCTGCTGGCCATCGTTGCCCACTTTTGACCACAGCCAGCATCCGCCACCTGAGCAAATTCCTCGGCGATCTGGCCACCCGTCCGCCCGAACTCTTAGACGCCAAGAGCCACGACTGGCGTACAATGACTAAATGGTCGGCAGCCCCATACCCAGCATTCTGTACGCAAGCGGTGCAGTGCACTTGTACGAAACGGATATTTGAACTCAGTCGCAGTGCACTGCGCTGCATTCGTACTGAATGTGGAGATGTTGGCATGCGACCATTTTGTCCTGTATGTGGCGCACACCCCCGCTGAAAGTGGCGCCGTATGATAAGGAGGTGATGGCTTGTGAAGGTCTGAGCACTACATGCTGGACATCCTGCCCACCGTCGATTTCTCCATCGAAGCCATGATTTCGCTCTGAGGACGTAGCGATGCCTGCAAGGGGTGTAAGGGCGGGCGCTCCGCCCTCCTGAGTAGCTATTCGCTGTTTCTGGGGATTTCCACCCGCACATTGCTGTGTTGTTTGACGGATCTGCAGCACAGTTGCACTGGCTGCAGAATCCTTCCTTGTTAGTCTGGTGTTGCTGCGCCACGGTGCGCATTAGATTCGGCAATAAAGCCTCATCCGGGTTCACCGCTGTTCGCTGTCGAGGATACGCGTGGCGCCCATACGGCCCCGCGTTATAGCAAATTACATAAAAATTTCGTAAACTGTTAAATAAATTGTTGTTAGATTAAATGGGACTTCGCTCTCCAAGTCTTTCTAATTGTGTAACACGGATGCCGCGATCAAATGCCTAACTTTCGTAATTATTAGAGTAAATTCTCAATAAAATTCATTTAAATTCCTCTGAAATCATTTCTAATTGTGTGAACAGGAACGCGGCGGCCAAGATCATCCAGGGCCTGTCGCGCACCTTATGCACCAACAACCTGATGGCGCTGATGCCACAGTTGCGCGCCATCACGGGCACCTGCATCCACCTGACCCTGGGAGGCCGCCTCGGGCGACACCGTCCTGGCCTCGCCCATCCCCGCCGGCACCATCTCCACCCTCCCGCCCCTCGTCACCGTCCCTTCCGTCTTCCGCGACGCCACCATCGACCTCACCGCCATCTACCTCCAAGCCGGCCGCGAATACTGCAACCTCGAGCAACTCTGCGCGCAGTTCAGCGACCGCTTCCTGCGCCTGGTCGTCTGCTTCCTCTTCCCCTTCGTCCTGCGCGTAGGGAGCGAGAGCACCGATCTCCCACCCATGCGCATCGAGGACCTGCGCTACATCGTCCGCACCCTCGTGTCACTACTGCACCCGCCCGTGTCCAAGCAGTTAACTTCGAAACAGCTGGCGGTCAACCAGCACATCGTCCGCACCAACAGCAACATGTCCAACCCGCCCAGCATCGTTCCTTCATCACAACAGGTGAGTCGGTTACCAGAGCGGAAGCGGAGTACTTTGACGCGGCAGAAAGCGCAGCATGGAGAACATACTGGGCCGCATCACCATCATGCGTCCATGCGGAAGGTCAACAGCTCGGAAGTCCCCGAAGCAATGGAGATGGTGCAGCTGACGCGGCCGCCGCGCGAGGATAACGTCGTTCCCAATAACGTCAACAGTAAGGTCATTACGGTGTCGGTGGTGCACACGGCGCGTCCGCCGTCCATTAAA